CTTTCTTTCTTTCTTTCTTTCTTTCTTTCTTTCTTTCTTTCTTTCTTTCTTTCTTTCTTTCTTTCTTTCTTTCTTTCTTTCTTTCTTTCTTTCTTTCTTTCTTTCTTTCTTTCTTTCTTTCTTTCTTTCTTTCTTTCTTTCTTTCTTTCTTTCTTTCTTTCTTTCAGTTAACTGCGGGCTCACAACGTTGTTACATGAATCGGAGCTCACAGTTGTCTCTGAGCTCACAATATTTTCATCGGATCAACAGCAAGTCAACAGATTGTTTTCCCCGCAAAAGTGACCGGCAACGATGTGTAGGGTTGTCCATATTATTTCTCAAAATGTACTTTTGATATACTCTAGTTCGATACTTTGCCCTCCAGTATGCCTAGGTACTCTTTGAAGTATCCTTCCTTGTCCACCCCCCGCGGCCCTTCCCCGGTGGGATGCGCCAGAAAATCACCAGTCTCCCATGACTTCATCCCTGGACAATATCGGTCCACGTGCATGTATGTGTTGAACAACTTTGGTGAAACGATCTGCAACTGTGTAAGCGGCACTTGTTAGTAATGCGACATAGCTCGCTTGGCTAGAATTGCACATCAGGGCATCCCAACCTTGACATGGTTTCTGATGGCATAGTTGTCATACGCAAGCACCAACTGTTTCATGATTGCCTGGTCCCCAAGCTCTTCGTAGTTTGGCGTCTCGTTGCCCGTGTTGGTGAAAACCTGAAGTGTTTCATTCTCCTGATTTATGTAGCCGCATCAATTGATCACCAAGGCACACATCTGGAGTAGCTCACCTCGAGAAGAAACATGTGCGACCAGGTCGAGTTCCTCACAAAGTAGACGCCGCCGTTGATACCAGATTCTTCGTGGCAATCTGCATAAGCAGCGGTTCGGCATCGCGTGGAATGGATCGCCTAAATGTGGCGGTGATGACTCACCAATGGCGCCTATCACATCGAAACGGGGGTCGAGAAATGATTCTAGCTGAATGGCTTGGGTCATGATCAGGGTATCGATGTCAACCTGCATGGAGTTTGTTTTGGAAGCTTCGTCTTGCGTATTAACGGACGGAGAAAACCCTCTCAAGAAAGCAAGCATGCGTGTGTATCTGTCGGAATTATTAAGATCTTGCCTTGAACACCCAATCGTAATGACGAAGGACACTTAAAACGGCGATGACGCTGCCCAAATATTGATGGCGCGGTTTTGCGAGATCATTATCAAATACAAATAGATCATACCCATGCCGATCCGCATACTTCTGCTTATTCTTTATGGAATCCTCTCCAAACAAGTCATTGAAAGAATTTCCCGATGAGGCTGTCATGACAATTGCTGCATCATTGAGACATGCCGCGCTCGGGGATCAAGTGGTTGCACCTGTGCTCCATGCCACCATTCTTAAGATTCTTTTAAACTCACCGATTCGAGGGCGATCTGAGGCTTGGGAGCAGGGCGCATGCTGCCAACAACGCGACGATGGGGGCATCGTGGCATCGCCGTCATGCACACGTTGTAAATATGTGGCTGCTTCGTGAAGCAAAGCCGCGGTGCTTTTAGCATCGATCGACTGGCTATTAAACATCTCGTAAATTTGGAGAGCGTTGTCCAGCGGCTGCGAAAATTCATCACACAAGATTAGGAAGTCCTTTGGCAGTCGCCAGGTACTGTGGCCATACTGGTGCGAATTGTATTGATTGGTTTTGGAGTGTGCAGTTGAGTCATTTTGCCGGGTGTTACGGCCGAGCAAGGCACATGCTGCCAGAAGAGCGGCCAGCAACACCAGCGTGCCCTTCCTGCAATGCATGGCAGACTTGCGCATGAAGGGATCTAGATGACATGTGAGAGCACCAACTAGTTTTCTATCCAGCTAGAAAAATTGAAAACAACTAATCCGCCCACTTCTTTCTAGGCGGATTGTGGTCGCCTTGCTTATATGGGCTGCCGCAGCTGTTGTTGTTGCTGGTGTTTGTTTTTGTTGTCGTCAACATTTTGAAAATGCAAAAGATTGTGGTTCCCAAGAAGGGGAGTGCTTCCCACAATTCTTTTATGCATTATAATTATCGCTCCACTTC